ATTAACATGAAAAGTAAAATAATGCAATCTGCCTTATCAACAGAACCAAGGACACATGCAATAAACTAATAGCCTACATTGTAGTTAATGTGGAAACATTGGCTACTTTTCCCAAAGATAGGGAACAAGGCAATAATTCTTGATTTTAGCATTTCATTGCATCATTTTATTATAGTCACAGAAATAAGAAAAATAAATAAAAGGCATAAATATTAGAAAAAAAGTAAAACTATCATTATTCTAAGAGGACACAAAAGAACCCTATGAAAATTATATTTTTAAAAAGCAAAAACTACTCTAGCTTTTAAAAAAAATTAAATGTTAATATAAAACTCAATTGCCTTTCTATATGCCAACAACAATTAAAATGTGAAAGCAATAAATAATACTAAATTATTAACTCAACTCAATGAATAACATTTTTTTTTCATGTAGCAAAAATTAAATCTTGATCCCTACCTCACACCATACACAAAACAATCTGAGATGGATTATCAACCTAAGTATAAAAACTAAAACAAGAAAACTTCTCTGGGACAAGTCACAAAATCACTAACCATAAAAGAATAAAATGACAAATATGACACAAAAACTAAAATATTCTGCTCATCAAAGGCACTTGAGAAAATGTTTAGGCAAATCACAGAGTGGGGGAAAATATTTATAGTGCATACATCTGACAAAGAACCACTATCTTGTGGGGTTACAGAAGAATTTATAAAAAATTACTACAAATATGTATACCTATGTAACAAACCTGCACATTCTGCACATGTACCCCAGAACTTAAAGTATAACTAAAAAAAAATTACTACAAATAGACAATTAGAAAGTTGAACAAGCCCATAAAAAATGAGGTGAGCAGATACTTCACAAAAGAAGATATGAGAATTGCCAATAACTACAGAAAAAGATACTCATCATCATTAGTCACCAGAAAAAATGCAAATTAAAACCATAATGAGAAATCATTTCACACCCAGAAAAATGGCTAAAATAAAAAAGTTTAAAAGGCGAGAATGTGGAGAAATGAAAATTCTCACACATTGCTATTGGTGACTATAAAACGGAACAACTTTTTTGAAAAGCTGTTGGGAAGTTTTTATAAAGTTAGCTATTCATCTACTGTGTGACACAACAATGCCACTCTTATTTATCTATGTGAAAAGACTTATATATTGTATTCATAGCATATTCACTCATAATGGTAAACAACAGGAAACAACACAAGCATCGATCAATAGGAGAATTAATGAACAAATTATAATATATTAATCCAATGGGAAACCACTCATCAGGAAAGAAACAACATGGATTAATTTCAAAACCACTATGCTGAGTGAAAGAAACCCAAACAGTGGTACACATATAGAAAACATACTCACTGTAGGATTCCATTTACGTAAAGTCCAAGAATAGCCAACTCTAATATATAGTGATTAAACATTCTTGCCTCTGAGGCAGGAAGGAGGGCAACTAACTAGAAAAGGGCATGAGGAAACTTTCTGGGGTGATGGCAATGCTCTATATTTTGTTTTGAGTGGCGTTATACCTATGTAAATAAAGTTCATCAAACTATATACTTAAGATCTGTGTATTTGATTCTTCAATTAAGAAAAACAAGATGCTTCACCAGGAAATATTTAAATAACAAAGCCAACACAAGTAACATATAACTATTTAGTAAAAAGAAAATAACTGGAATGTCAGTAGACCTACCTAATATTGTATTTCAAAGATTTTCAAGTATTTAAGTATAAGTAAGTAGAAAATTTCAGCCTTGTGGGCTAATATATTGGAGAGAAAGAGAAAACAGTAATATATAACTATTTCAGTCAGTCTGAATTTAAAATAGATGGTTTCACAATCTAGAGAATTTTAAGACATGAAAGAAACAAAGGTGAAAAATATCAAACACAGGATGCAGAACTAACAGCTGTGACTTAGTTAATACATATGCTGAATAAAAACAAACTCAGCAAAGCACTGAAAAGCCTGCAGCTTCCAAGTAATTAACACTCTAAGCAGAAACATGCAATGTGTTATCAGCCCTACCTCATCTTGAAAGCAAGGACTCCTTGGTTACAATGGATACTCTCCATTCACAGGTAGAGTTACAAGAAAATAAACTAGATAAAGGTATACAAGAGGCAAAGGCAAAGGCACCTAATTTGCTCCATCTAAGCAGTATCTATTTTCAGTGAATGAGATGAAAGTTCTGCCTTTACCTCACCTATTCGATATCATTCTTTCCACACTAAAATACTGAACACATCAGCTAATGGTCAGGCAAAGAAGTGTAAATTCACAAATAAGGGTCACATTCATATTTTTATTTTCAAAGTTCAACACCAGTTTTAAAAGTAAAATTATCATTTTGTATTATTAATCTTTTAAAAATTAATTTTAAAAAAGGTCTTGAATACCCATAAGTCAATCTAACTTCACACTTTTTGCATATCCAGATAGAAAGCCAGAATTAACAAATATGTTAGAGTATTAAATGTGTGATTAAAATATATGCTTTTATATAAACTCACCAATAATTATCTTTTCTTTGGAACAGTAGCTCTTGACCATTTTCCATCCCTGACACATCTGTGATTTGTCAGAACACAGCAGGAGTCTCCTGTTCTATCCATCCATCCATCCTCCATGCACATCCTCTAGTCTCCAAACCCTTCCCTGAAACCTCATGTCCTATCTGAATCCCCTCTATTTCCATGTGAATATTCTACTCCTTCCTTTCTACAATGAATGAGGAGCCTCCTGGGGGGTCATAACACAAATGGAGAAATAAGTCATGCACCAATGTCTCCAGAGTGGAAGAAAGAGTAGCCTAACTGAGGTTATATTCTTTCTGCAATTATATATAAAGAAAACAAAGATATATAGTTGTTATTGTTTTATTACATAAATACAGTCTGTATTGGTTCTAATTTAAATACCATCATCCTGAATTACTTAACTTTCTCACTTCTTTGTTTTTCTCCTTAAAGCAATGTTATAACATTTAAGAAAGGTGGAGTCCATTACTAAGATAAATATTTAAGTACTGACAGCACCAAGGAATAGGGTCAAGATGGAATTTCTGGCTTTAATTCTACCTTTAGATTTCTTCAAAGTTTACCAAGCTAACCTACACTCAATTAAAATATGTAAAGAAGGATTTAGAAAATAATGCCTCAGTTATTCAAATCATAGATCTATAAAAAGAACATGTTTTTCTTTCATTGAATGACCAAATGCATTTACATTAGAGAATTTATATTGGTATAAAAACAGGTATATTTAGTAATGAATTTTATTAACATATATAGGTCAATGTATTATGTAAATAGCTTTAAAATGCTAGAAATATACTAGAAACACAATAACCCCAGAGTTTACCTTCATATGAGAGAACCAGTGTCAACAAACAAGACAGAAACCATCTAAAGCTGGGTTTAGTGAGGTTTATCTTGAAGCAAATAGACCCAATAAAATTTCCTTGAAAAAGAGGACTATTTTTTTTTTTTTAATGAGATGAAGGTGTCACTATGTTATCCAGGCTGGTCTAGAACTCCCAGGCTCAAGTGTTTCTCTGCATCAGCCTCCCCAGTAGCTAGGATTACAAGTGCATGCCACTGTACCTAGCAGAAGAAATTTTTGAAAACATTTTTCTCCTCCACATAGTGGGTCACTGCGTCAAATATTACCTGTGCCTAAATGCTCCTCGACTTTCATATTCCATATGAAGATGGAATTATACAACCTAATTCTAAATATGTGTCAAATTATACAACCTCATGAGGATTTTTCTAACCTCTGAGTAGGACTGGAAGAGGCAAATATACTAAAGTTAGAAAAAGAAACTCAAAATCAGTTGGACAATGTAGCCTCTTTGGAGTGCCAATAACTTTATCTATAACTCTGAAACACAAATTGCACTTGAATTGATGAAGGATATAGGAAACAATTTATATGAAGGTGTTCTATAAGCTGCATTGAATATTCATAATTTAAGTGCCATTTTATTAATAAGGATGAAGATTATAATAAAAATGATCTAAAATAGCTTATCTTAAAGAAGGAAAAATATTAAACCAACTATTGCTCATTTAGGCCTAAATAGTCTTAAAAGTCACATCTGCCCTACAATTTGGCTACAATATTTATTCATACTCTATATCTAAGTAGATGATGAATGGCATTGATTGAATCCAAAGTCCCCCTGTCTTGGATTTTATGAGGCCCATTCAGAATGAGCCAGGTTGAGAACACCACTAATTTCATGTTCTGAGTCCATCTGTTGGCAAAAATATAATGCAAACAGCTTTATAAGTGCTATTTTCAATGAAATATCACAGAACAGCTTGTCCCAATGATATTTCTAAAGCTTGCCTGCAAACCGCCTACTGGAAAGTCCAACTGAAAGAGAAAGGAGGAAAGAGAGAAATCCATACAGGAAAGGGACAGGGATGGAAAAAAGAACAAAGAATAAAGAGAGACTACCTAGAGGACTGTGAACACTGGAGGAAAACAAGGAACAATATTAAATGCAGACAATATTAGTTGAAACCATAAAGATAGAGAAGTTAGAGAAATATAAAAATCACTGGCATTGGAGGACAGAGAAATAATCGCAAATCATGCAGCACTGTCCAGAGGAATAAAGGCCAAAGGAGCAGGAAACACCAGAAAGTATGTAACAGCCCGATAATTGGAGTATAATTATTAAAATGTTGTGAGAGAAAAATGATGTGAAATGGCTATTTTTCTAAGTCTCACTACTTCACATAATAGGCACAATTCATTTTTTCAAAAACGAATACAGATTTCAGTGTTTATCACCAACTTCAAAGGAAGCAAACAACCTCTTCTGAGTCCCTTCTTTTAATTTAGAAATCCACTTACACACCACATAAAATTGCCCAGGCATTGCAATATAAGTGATGTACATGCATTGATTCAAAATAAAAACACATTATAGGGAAAATGATGTCATTCTGGGCACTTACCTGGGGTCGAATGACTTTTACAATATTTTTGAGGGCAGTATCAGGGGATGGAGGTGAGCAGTCAGGTGTTGGGCCTGTTGAGCTGTTTCTATGGTTACTAGTTCCTGGAGTAGTAATTGCTACCTCAGAGGTATTATCTGCGAATAAAAATAGAACTGCCATGAACCTAATCACTCAGTTTACCTTTTAAGACTTGAAATTACCTTTCTGAACATAAATTGAGATTTCAACTTTTAAAACTGTTACCAATTACAAGATCATAATGAGGAATACACTCAGTGGTATATTTTAAAGATAATGTTAATTAAATACTTTGTTTCTTTTTAAAATGGTAACTGTCACCCCCTGGAATGTTCCAAGACAAGAGTATTATTATTCAATTCATAATAATAGATTGTCCAGCATAGCTCTTAAGACTGCTACTACTATATAAATAACTAAAAGCTTACCTTAACTAAAAAGAATATAATTTTATTATATGATTGGGCTAAAGCTTTCCTAATAATCTCTTGAGTATTAATCTTTATTAAAGTAGGAGTTTCATATCTCCTTAATGCATAAAATTCAAATTCAAGACTCCTCAAATAACTTTTCCTAGAAATCTCATAAACTAGAAAAGCATCCTCGTGAACAACGCTTGATGAAAAACCGAAATTTGTGCAAATGGTTTTTATAATGTAGATAAATACAAGATGGATAAGTATAGCATTCTATGTGGTCAAAACTAAATGAATGAAATTTCAAAATCCAAATTAATCTTCTCTTATGTTCAGTATTAGGAGAGAGGGAATAAAGAAAAGATGACTTGAAAATCAACAACATGTATAACATTTTCTTCTTAAATTTGTATTAAAGCAAAATAACATCAAAGATACCATTTTAGAATGTTTAAAATACTTGGGAAAGGATGAAAATTATTCTATAAATAACTTCTGCTAGCACATATAAAAGTTATTTTATTTTAACAACAATTTGGCAAACCTCAATAGCTTTTTATGAAAATGCTGCAAGCTCAAATCTACCCCCCAAAAAAAAGTTTACTTCTCTGTTGTTTCTAATTAGTTCCCAATAATTTTCTTTCCTAGACAGTTAGCTGAAATGATTGCAAAAGAGACTGAGACTGTGAATTTTTTATAGACCAGGAAGTTTTTCTGTTCCTGACCACTAACTACAATCCCCAGTGAAATACAAGAATTTATCAAGGCATCTTTTCCTCATAAAATGCAAAAGGATGAATTATCATAAAACTCTACCTACCATATAAAAATATAATTTAGTCTCACTAAGGAATCCTACACAGGCTCATAAAACAAAATTTCAAGTGTGACACATAGAATTACTTGGATGACTCATAAAATAAGTCTTAAAAGTGTCCAGAGCACACTCTTCTAAGATTTAATGAAAAAGGTGGGATTTAAATTGGAGTCACAGAAAAGGTTGGGGTGGTCTTCTGAGTACAATAGAAAAGTATAAGTCAATATTGAAACACACAAAACATTAGTCAGCAAGATGCTCTTATACTCTCCAATCTATCCCTTCCTTCTTTCATTCATCTAAAAACCACACATGTTAAAACTCTTAATTAAAATGGGGCAACTATGAGTCAAATATTATGTTATGTTCTAAAGATTAACTAGGAAGAATCTCTGTCCAGAGACTGGGTCATGGGGAGGGGAGGAATAGGTTAAGCACTGAGGATTTTCAGGGCAGTAAAACTATTCTATTTAATAATATAATGTGGATATATATCATTACATATTTGCCCAACTCATAGGATGTACAAACCAAAAATGAACCTATGTAAACTATAAACTTTGGGTGATGATGTGTCTAGTAGGTTCATCAATTAAAACAATTATCATTTTGGTACAGAATGTTGATAGTAACAAAAGCTTTGTATATGGAAATATATGAACTTTGTAATTTCTGCTCAATTTTGCTGTGAACCTAAAAAGTTATAAAAATAAAATCTATGAATTTTCTTTTTTTTTTTTTTTTTTTTTTTTTTT